TTAGTACGGATATACGTCATATATCTGGATTGGAAAATGTTGTCGCGGACACACTTTCGCGTATCGAAGAAGTGACTACACCCCTCAACTATACAGCTCTGGCCAAGGATCAAGAGGATGACGTGGAATTGCAATCATTTCTTCATTCAAATTCCAGTTTGAAACTCAAGAATGTGGAGATTCCCGGCACAGGTGCGACCATTTATTGTGACGTTTGTACAGCAGTGGCACGCCCGTTTTTAAGTTTCGTCGAGCAGCATTCCATTCAATCCATGATCTTGCACACCCTGGTGCAAAAACTACTGTGACCCTAATGACTCAACGATTTGTCTGGCCATCAATAAGGAAAGACACTCGCGGGTGGACCAGAACCTGTATCCCATGCCAACGTTCAAAAGTTTCACGACATGTTTCAGCGCCGCTTTCATCGTTTTCAAACCCGTCAGCAAGATTCGACCACGTACATATCGATATCATCCTAATGCCCACTTCCGAAGGGAAAAGGTATTGTCTCACGTGCGTGGATCGTTTTTCAAGATGGCCGGAAGCAGTCCCTTTAGAAGACCAAACAGCAGAAACCGTAGCGAGAACGTTCTACGAAAATTGGATTTGCCGTTTTGGAGTTCCATTGCGTGTAACAACCGACCAAGGGCGCCAATTTATGTCAACCCTCTTCGGACATCTCACTAGTATGGTTGGGATATCTCACCTTCACACCACCGCATATCATCCCCAAGCGAATGGTATGGTAGAAAGACTCCATAGACAACTTTAAGCGGCAATCAAGTGTCACAGCAGCGAGCGTTGGACCGAAGTACTTCCTACCGTTTTACTGGGAATCAGAGCCGCATGGAAGGAAGATATTAATAGTACATCTGCCGAGCTAACCTATGGACAACCACTACGACTGCCAGGGGAGTTTTTGACACCAAGGACCAACGACGATATGGAAGATTTCGATGCTTACATCAGACAACTCCGTCAAGACTTTCAAGAATTACAGCCAGTACTAGGTACGCACCATGGCCGTAGAAACATATTCGTATTTAAAGATCTGGCTACAGCAAAACAAGTCTTTGTACGCAACGATGGCCCAAAACAACCCCTGCAGGCGCCATACGAAGGACCATTTCCGGTAGTTAAAAGAACAGCGGATAGGTGAAACCAGCCTATATCCTGCCGGGCAATCATGATGATACGGTGATAACACAAACTTCAGCATCGCCTCAACAGCCCAACCAAGGCGTTCCAGCAACAACCCGATCAGGCCGAAGGATAAGGTTCACCGACCGCTACCAAGCAGGAAATCCTTAACGTTAATCACTAGCGAGGGGGTACTGAAGCTGCCAGTTCATAATAAAAATTTTCAAGAATGTACATACAACCAAAATTATTACAAATGTAACAATAAGAACTGAAACAGTACGGTTATCAGTTAACATTCTCAGAAAAACATTAAGCAGTGAAACCCAACCGAAACTGGTTACCTGGAAGCGAACGGCGAAAGCAGTTACGGTAACAATACAACGATCATCGTTAAGGGTACCGAGAATTGGAACAATTACCATATATAAAAGGAAATTTTGTATCATGTTAGGGTAGTAAGTCTTGATCTTTCTTTCTGTTACCTATACATGCTATTGACTATTTATTCATATTTATTGTTTGTTTTAATCTTTGTGGTGTGATCTTCTTTTATTATTCGTTTTATGTGTTTTGTTTGGTGTATTAGTGTGATCCAAATTATACTGTTTTTTATTTGTGTCGGACTATTATTTATTTTTATTATTAACAACAAAAACCGACATGTCTAAGGATGATGTTGCATTAAAATTTATTCAAAGGGAAATTGCAGAATTAAATACTATAACAACAGAACCGGATCTATCTAAGGTTGTATTACGTATAAGAGAAGATACTACGATCCTTCCAAACCATTGGGGCCATGTACAGATTGACAACGATACCTATGAAGGTAACATGCGTCGAAGCTAGTGTACGACTAGAAGAGAAACAAAAGTACTGCATTCCTTACACGGTTCTGTCGTTGAAAAAGGGTGAAGTTTCGAAGCACCCTGTATTAGTCTAACCGACCACGACATACATTTCAAGAAAGGTCAGGTGTTAGTGCGAGTCTTTCCGTGTGTTGAAAGAACAAACTCGACAAAAATAATAATGAGGGTCACTGCAACAGATACCAGAAAACCCCTCCCTCTAGAAGAAATTTCGATTGGGCCTGTTAATAATGAGCAACGTCAACGATTAGTAGACTTACTGAATGACTACAGAGATCGTTTTGCTGTTTGTACCCAAGAATTAGGTTGTTCAAGGTCTGCAACTATGGAATACTGCATTTGTTACGCCTGAGGGCCAATTCGAGTACAACAGAGTTTCCTTTGGCTTATGTAACCCTCCCAGAGCATTTCAGCAGTTGATTACCAGAATATTTATACCAATATGTAATAATTGTGTCCTGTACCTAGATGATGTACTTTTATATGGACCTAGCGTAGATACTTCCCCAAACATATTACAAGAAGCACTGGACATCTTGCGACAGAATGGCTTGACTCCGAACTTGAAGAAATGTAATTTCTTAAAAACCTCTATTAACTACCTCGGCTATGAAATATAAAAATGGACAGTTAGACCAGGAACAGGTAAGATTGAACCTGTGAAACAATTTCCTACCCCTAAATCGGTCCATCACATACACCAATTCCTTGGCTTAACAGGATTTTTCCGTCATTTTGTGCGCGACTACGCCATTATTTCCAAACCTTTGTCAAAACTAATCAAGAAAAGCAAAAAGAAGGAACAAAAAGAAGCGTTTAAACCACTTAAGGATATCCTAGCCAGCCGAGCAGCACTTGGTTTATTGGACCACGACGAACATACCGAACTCGACACAGATGCAAGCAAACATGGACTAGCCGGTATAGTTTTAGAAAAGAATGCGGATGGACGCTGGTACCCCATCGAGTACTATAGTTGCCAAACATCAGACACCGAACAGAAATATCATTCGTTCGAGTTAGAAGTATTGGCGATAGTGTCAAGTTTAAGAAAATTTCGGACCTACCTTCTGGGCATTCCATTCACTGTCGTTACTGACTGTAACTCTATTAAGATCGCCAATAAGAAAAAGCATCTGCTGCTGCTTCTGATGGTGGCTTGAATTGCAAGAATTTACTTTTGACATTTAATATCGACCAGGATTACGGATGGCACATGTGGTGTGCTAAGTCGCAAACTAACTACCGACGTTGATACTGAAGACTGTGAGGTAGTAATGCATATAGAAACAGCAGATTGGATCCTTTCTGGGCAATTGAAAAAAATACATACAGTATTTTCGAAACCGCCAACAACCGACTACGAAAACTAAAAGAAAAGGACGCATATACCGAATTACAGCTAAGGATATACTGTGGGTTGTCCCAAAGGGGATAAGACAACGTGTAAAATTTTGAAGTTGAACGAACGCTGCATCGGCTATGTGAAAGCTACTGATTCCCGCGAATGCGAAAATATGTGGAGAAATACATCGCATGCTGTATCCCATGCTTGTATCTAAAGAGAAACAGAGGGAAAAAAGAAGGGTTTTTACATCCAATACCTAAAGGAGAAACCCCGTTAAAAACGATTCATGTTGATTAAGGAATATGCAATACCTGATAGTAGGAATTTATGCCTTCACGAAATTTACCTTTCTGCGAACGGCTAAGAGAAATTATTTCTTGAAACTGATTCTCAACGAACCTTGAATAATGATTTTGTCTTCCGATCGAGAGGCATTTATCGGAAACATAAACGAACCTCGAGCGCTAGACCAAACATACCTATTCGAAAACGGAGCCAATGTATGTAGTTGATTAAGATATATTTCCGATTAATGTTTCTTTGTCGAAACCTTGTCATTCAGTCAATGTCTTTCTATCGTGACTGTTCTAACTGAAAAGTGTTTTGTGCTAGTGTTTATTAACAAATTAGGTGAGTTTTCTCATCGAGTAACTAATTTATTTATTTTATTATTTAATATTTGATTAATTAGTATAATTGCGTTATACTTAATTGTATTTTGTTTAGTTGTGTCATGGAGTACGTCGCGCGTTTTTCCCTTGACCGTTGAATAGAAATGTTGACACAACCCCCATACAGATAATCTAACATTCAACTGATATTTATTTCATTGATTTATCTATCTATTTAATGATTTCACATTGATACATACATTACTCTATTTCGATACTGTTGCTTATTTGGATCAATTCATTAGTTGAGGGAAATTGGTCGCTCAGGTTGATTTGCATATTTTCTTCAGAATTGGTTTTGATCATATTTCGTCCTGGAAGTTATCAACCTGCACGTGTTATTTTTTTAAGCATTAATTTGTAACTATATTACGTTGTAAGTATATTTGTTTTTTTTTTTTAAATTCAAAGAATTTTGTTTCGTCTTTTGTTTTTTCCCTACAGCATCAAAAGAAGTAGTTGCGCCGGGAGAGGAGAAATTAAGACATTGAATGAGTTTCCGAAACCAAAATCAATAAACATGGGGTTCGCTCATTTTTAGGTTTAGCTAGCTTTTTCAGGCGATTTCTGAAAAGATTTGATTTGCTATTTTAGCCAGACTACTAAGCGACTTACTTAAAAACAATGTTAATTTTCGTTGGGGAAACGAACAACAACAATCATCCGATTCAATTAAATTATCTTTGGCAAGTGCCTATATTGAGTGTTTATAATCCCAATGCTTAAACTGAATTGCAAACAGATGCATGCGCGAAGAGCCTAGGAGCGACACTGTTACAAAAACAACTAGATGAGACATTAAGAGCAATTTTCTAAGTCGTAAAAATACGTCGGAGGAATCAAAATATCACCCTAACATACAAGTTGGAATATTTGGCAATTGTCGCAGCGCTTGAGAAATTACGGATATATTTATTGGGTATACCGTTTATTATCACCNTTAGTACAATGTTTTGCATAGAAGTTTTGATTTTGATAGAAGCAATTCGTTGACAATAATATTCCAAGCCTTTCTAGGCCCAGTACACTGTAAAAAATATTTTGTTAAATTTGCATTTTATTAACAAAATCCGTTCAAGAATATTACTAAAATAGGTTTTACGTCCATTGTTATAAACCACTACAATGAAGAATATGCTGTAAAATGTAGTTGCTTTAACATTTTATGTAGTGGCGGTGTTCATACGTACATGAATATTTCTTTTACGTGTTCTACTGGCACTTTTTGGTCTGAAATTATTATTAAATTCCTTGAATTTAAAAATTCTACAGGCCTCTATTACAAATTATTTATTCAAAATATCGATGTCGAAATCTATGCATTGGATTAGTAGTTTTAAAACTATCGGAATAAGTAACTGTCATGGAAAATTAATTACCAACTACATAGTTATTAGTTAAATGCTCAACCAATATTAATGCATGTAGACAACAAAAACTGTATGAGACAGGTATATGTATGCGCCTTCGCATCGTGCTGATGTCTGCACAAATTTTAAGAAAAATACCATGTGCCTTTTTTAAATATATCAAGAAAAAATGATTTTTTGCATGAAAATGTAAAGCATAATAATACTTTCATTTTTTCAAAGTTAAGCTTGAAAATTTTTACAGATTTTCTTTGTTCTATTTAAAACACAACACGTACCTGAAATCTTTAGGTCGGTTCCATTTTACGGGTAGTTTCAGTTGAATCAAATTTTCTTGATCCAAGTTGTCCAATAGCGTCAGCGTAATTGCTCTATCGAGATCACAAAAATAATTGGATAGCGGTGCAAGAAAATTGGAATTGTAACATGTATGTATCTATTTCAAAATTAATTCAGATTATTCCTACTCGGTGCACATTTTTGCATGATAATCGGTGTATTGTTCCTCTTCTTAGATTTTCTAAAAGCAGGGAAATATTGGTAAAATGAAATATTGGCTTCTAAAGTAAATCCATACAAGTAGATCTTTAAAAACTACGAATATCTGTGTTCAGTACGTCATGAGTATGCTCGACCATAGCATAATGTAACTGAACAATGCGTACGTAATATATGCGACGTAATAGTACTCCTTGTTACATTTGGATCTTCAACTAGTTAATAAACTTAAAAATAACTTTTTACGTACAGAGGGTTCCATTACATCTAAAGCTATAAAAACCGTATTTAATGATGGTATAATAAATAAAGAAGGTAACATTGTCATGATAAGAAAAACTGTTTTTCAGAAATGTTAATCTTTTTTAGATATTCACGATGTCACACTGTTGTAGGTTCTAGATGAGTAGGTAGGCTCCAAACATGAGAATGGAGTCGCAGGATGAAACGCAGTCTTGCGTTGAAAATACTCACAACGTGTAAATGAGCGAAACACGTGTCCGCATTGTTTTTTTTTTTTTAAATGTTGTGGTTAGTTGGGGTATAACCTTTCCTTTTTGTGAATGCACTTTTATTATGTGTATGTAAGTTTTATTGGTTGAATTGGTTAGGTATATCGATTTGTTCTTACAATTAGTCAGTTACAACTTGAATTAAAATTTTGTGATAGTTCACGAATCAAGTGACAATGGAAGATTATAAATTCAGTATAACCAGTGGGGTATCTTATGACTTTCTTAATTTCCCATAGAAGTACACGGCTATAATCCTCAATTCCTCACCATTACTATTTACATTAGGGTAGCTACTCTAGATTTTAACAATTTTTCTTCGGAGAAAAAAAAGCGTAGTATCAATTGTTACGAAAAAAATTTTTGGTGTCTTAAAAAAAGATTTTATGTTATGATTATCGTTCCAAATGATACGGTCGCAGATGTTTTTCGCAATCCTGTTTCTGCAACTTTTGTAAGTACTTACCATAGCCCACAGTAGCAGAAATCTTTGAAGTAAAGCATCTAATAATACGAGGGTGGATTGATAAGTTTCCGGCCTAACCAAGAGATGANGTAAATCCATACAAGTAGATCTTTAAAAACTACGAATATCTGTGTTCAGTACGTCATGAGTATGCTCGACCATAGCATAATGTAACTGAACAATGCGTACGTAATATATGCGACGTAATAGTACTCCTTGTTACATTTGGATCTTCAGTTTATTGTACGGACGTGCGTATATCTACTTATATATGTTACACATTTTCCATTTTGCGAATTATAATATTATTTGTTAAATTTTACTGTAGGTACAAGGTGTTTCTGAAATTCTTAGCAACCTTGCAGGAGATGATAAGACACTATAAAATAAGAAAATTAAGTAAATGTTTGCAGGTCCAAAAGTTCACCGTTTTCGAAAAAAACGTAATTGAAAGTACAGACGAATCTATGCCGAACCATGGAAAGAAATGCGACAATGCGTATTCAATCGGCTGGTAACTAGCAGCATCAGCGTTGTATTTCTTACGTATCTTTTTGCGCATGCACTGTTTATTATTAGATTAAGAATAATTCAAAATATTTATGTTACAACCAGTAGTAATTCGTTCTTTAGTTGTAACCTTGATGTATTTACTCAGTCGATGGTAGGTCAGCTAGGTCAGCGTGTGATATCGTAGATAGTATTAGCACGAAATTTATTCCCCGAATTAGGTATCAACAACAACCAACTTGCCGTACGACAGGTTTTCTCCACCCTAATGAGCCCCGATTACCTGAGTAACTACTTAACTATGTACTTTTCTCTACTACTTTAACTATTTTTTTTTAAATCTTCAATTTTACAAATGCCTTCTTCCTTCTCTTCTTCGGTTGTATTTCCCATCTTATATTAATTTCTCCTTCTGTAGTATAGTTATTTTAGTGTCTATCATTTTTTTTTGCACTCATTATTTTCTCTTTTTATTAATTTTTATCGTAGATTCACGCTTCTTTGTTTCAACCCTATATTCTTATGCATGCCCTGTCGTTTCCTATAGTTAGTTTTTTATTTTTTCCCGCGAAGTTAACGATAAACGCGAATTCGTTTTTATCATTAACTTTCGCCCTTCTCTTATCACCTCACCTTAATCCCACTCTCAACCCCTCTTTTTCCCAACCCTTGCGTGGTACTGGAGTTTGTATAAATAACCCTGCATTCCTCAGTACCAGAGACCAGTTCGTCGAGAGCAGCGGAACGAAGCAGACGTACCAACATCATCGCAAGACAGCAGAGCCGACAGCCTCTACACAAAATCGTGTGACCTACAAATAGCCTTCACAATCTCAATGTACGACGTCATGGACTGCGACGGTTTTGAAAGGCCGAAGAAAACTAGGAAGACGACAGATACCTATTCTAGAGAACGAGAACCATTACCGACGAGTAACAGTTTCGACGCGCTACACAGCGACACCACAAACGAACGAAGACCACCACCCATCGTGCTTCATTACGCTGAGGATTGGACCACCATCAGCAAAGAACTGAAACACCAGCAGATAAATCTACGCGGCGCATCCCACACAAAGGATGGTATCCGTCTCCAGCCCCGCTCCAGTCAGGACCACAGCAGGACAGTTAAATACCTAGAAAGCACCGAAACGATGTACTACACCTTCGGGAATGAAGCAAGACGACCAATAAAGTACGTGATAAAGGGAGTACCAACAACAATAAGCACCTGCGAAGTGTCGACCGATCTACAAAACCAAGGAATATACGACTGCGCGATACACCGCATGAAATCTTGATCCAAGGCCATCCCCCTGATACTAATCATCACATACAAGAAGAGCGACGAAGACAAAATCAAGAACATGACAGCCTGTTGCGAACTGAACATCAAAATAGAAAAATACCGAAAACCAAGAGGACCAATCCAATGTCATCGGTGTCAACGCTTAGGACACACGCAACGTCACTGCAAAATGGCACCACGATGCGTGAAGTGTGCAGAGCTTCACAGAACGGAAGACTGCGACAAACCTAAAGAAGACAAGGCCGTTTGCAGAAACTGCAAAGGCGAACACCCCGCCAGTTATCGAGGCTGCCCTGCATTCAAAAAAGAAAAGAAAACGAAACCTTCATCGAAAACTGAAGTACAACAACCAAACAAAGACAACAATAGAAACGCAGTAAGACAGGGTCTATCTTACGCCAAAGCGACTTCACAAAGACCACACGACATACTCGACAACGAAACAAACAACAACATACTTGGGAAAATCGATTTGCTACAAATAAGAAAGGCAATAATAAAACTAGCGAACCAACTCGAAAACGCTAGCACACCAATTGAAATACTACTACAATTACTGGGCAGTGCTCAGACACTCGCCCAACTAATTAAATATTAAACACAGTAGTAAGTAAACCATGCGGCTGAAGAGGGCTTCGCGGCCCTAGAACGGCCTGAGGGGGAGAGGTTTTAGTCGGTAGGCGTCCTTCGGGATGAATCCGACACTACCCGGTCGCACGGGCGGCCGGGTGTCTTTCGAAGATTTCCTCACCTCCACGAAAACAAAAAAAAAAAAAAATCAGTACCAGAAGACTCCCATATTCCACCGACCCACGGCAAGGAAGAAGGAGTCAGTCGCCAACCAACCAACCCCAAACTCTATATTTGTGTTTGTGCCAAGTGCTATCAACTCGATTATTTCCGCAGTAGTGACTTTGTATATATGTATGTATATTCACCTACATCAACTTCAACTTGTTTTATTTTTCTCTCTACATTAACTATCTGTTTTGTCTATAAATTGGTATTGTTTGTATATATATTTTTTGTCTTCTTTGCTATTGTTTCGTATGTATATTTTCTGTCTTTTTTGCTATAGTTTGGTGTATATATTTTTTATCATTAGTATTAGTATATAGTGTGTAAATAAAAGTGTGCAAGGTACTTACACTCTACATTTGCGGGCCTTGAGCGTCGACCCCCAAACTATATCATCGCTACAAGATGAAATCCTTGATTTTTACATAAGACAACCCCAAAAGTAAATAATAGTTAGTATTGGTGTGGCTGCCGAACTTCTACTCTCGATTCAGAAATAATTTTGGCAGATGTCTCGATACCTGTCTTTTAGAACGGGATTCAAATTGTCTGTCTTTTTGTAATCATTAATTTTTAGTTTTCTTCAAATACATTAAAAGACGTTTCACATATTTCCAATAAGTTTCATTAAAGTAATTATTGTACTGAGTTAGGAAACTTACACTAAAAGTAATATCTGGCCTGGTAAGTATATCAGAATACCAATCAGGTGTTGATAAACATATGTTTGTTTAATTCCCTTCCCAATTTTATGTTAATTTCCCTTGGTGTATCACAATAAGATCAATCTGTCATACTGAATTTCTTTAAAAAGTATCTATAAATTGCTTTTATCAACAGTAATGCAACCTTTATGAATCTTAACAACCATAATCTATGCTTTTTTTCTGAGTAAAGCCTTTTGCAACGAGCCTGGCTCTAAAACGCAACTCACCTTCGCTTTTTTTTTAAACACCCACTAATTTTTACAACCGTACCGTCCTTTGGCCTATATACTAGCTCTTAAGTGGCATTATTTTTAAACGATTCTAGCTCAACTTTCATTGCACACTGCCCGCTGTTCTTTATCAGGTCCACTCATTGCGTCACTAAGAAAAAGGTGATTACTAAACATCACCATGCACATGTTTTATTTACACTAATTATTAAAGAACTTAAAAACACTATTAAATGATTACTAAACTTAGGTGATGAATCATTCTATTTATTTACACTACTGTTAATATATCACTATTCACTGCGCTATTTGTTTTACAGCTATCACTGACAATTTATTTCTCAATTCACTTCTGCAACGGTCAATTTATTTCTTCCCCTTTCAGCTATCGTCTCTTCCTTTAAATACTCTTTTGTTTACTTTCTGGAACCTTCTGGAAACGTTTGGATAGTTTATTTTTTCTTTGAACTGTTTACCCGCTTTCCCAGAA